GGGACAACCCGGACTTCGCGGCCTACCTGTCGGAGCTCAGCTCCTTCGGGGTGGAGAAGCTGGGCCGGGAGCCGGAGAGGCTGGCGGAGGAGCGGGCTCAGATCCTGCAGCAGACCCGGGAGCTGGCCTTCTCCAACTACCAGACCTTCATCCGCACCGCCGACTGCACCGAGCACATTTACCGGGACTTCGGCCGGGTGGAGAGCAGCGTGTCCCGGCTGCTGGACAAGCTGCCCCGCTTCGGAGAGAATTGCAGGTCGGTGGCTCCCTGTGGAGGGGATGTCAGCAGGAGGAAACTGGTTTAATCGATTAACACGGGGTCTATAAAACACCTGAAGTGTCATCATTTACTGTTAGGTTAATAAAAACTTTATATATTATTATTATATTACTATATATATACTTTAAATATTTTTTAAAAAGCACACAGGATGAACTGATCAAGGAAAGATGCAGATTATTATTATTGTAGCTCACTGTAGGATCACAACCTGCCTTTGAATTCAAAATATTTAAATACAAAAAAATAAAAAGAATCAAATCAAAGTGAATAACTTAGTTATTTTCTTAGGAATATGTCACAGAAGGTGAATTGACTGGGAATAAAACAGCAGCAGGTTAATTTCCTTTGAGCTGGCTCGTCAGCCTCCTTTCAGAATAAAACACAGGCAGTCAGACTTTAGCCACAACCAGAACAAAACTAAAGACTGGGAACATTAATGAAAGATAATAAAAGCTTCTTAGAGCTATAAATTGTTACGTGTTACACATAGTTGTGTTTTTGCTGTTGTGCTGTCTCTCTGAGCTTCGGGGGCTGATTTTGTTTTCAGGCACTTCACGAAAGAGGCGGAGGAGATCGGAGCGAGCCGCCGGATGAACAGCCTCACTCTGAACCGCCACACGGAGATCCTGGAGATTCTGGAGATTCCTCAGCTCATGGACACCTGCGTCCGCAACGGCTACTACGAAGAGGCTCTGGAGCTGGCGGCGTACGTGAAGAGGCTGGAGAAGAAACACTCGTCGCTGCCCGTCATCCAGGTGAGTCCGGACCAGGCTGACCAAAAAGCGGGTGTGTTTGGGGCTCAGGTTCAGGTTCAGGCTGGAAGTCGCTAGTTTAAACTCTAAATTGACAAAAACTGGAGAAAAACAGTTGAGAAACTTTCTCTTTGCTGAGATATAAAACAGAAAAGGTCACCGTGGAGAACATCTAATGTTTCGGCTCCTCTAACCTTTGACCTTCTCCATCTTTAGGGCATCGTGCGTGAAGTGCGTCAGTCTGCTCAGCTGATGCTCAACCAGCTGTTGCAGCAGCTGCGCAGCAACTCCCAGCTCCCCGTGTGCCTCCGCGTCATCGGTTACCTGCGGCGTATGGACGTGTTCACGGAGGCGGAGCTGCGGGTGAAGTTCCTGCAGGCTCGCAGCACTTGGCTGCACTCCATCCTCGCCGCCATCCCTGAAAACGATGCTTACTTTCACATCACCAAGACCATCGAGGCCTGCAGGGTGCACCTGTTTGACATCATCACCCAGTACAGAGCCATCTTCTCTGACGAGGACCCGC